TGAGAGGTGGAGTGGGTGATGCCTGCGTGGTGACGTCATCGCCCGGAAGGTTGGCTGGCACCTACCTGCAGCTGGTGGTCGCTTACCTGTGACGTCATATCTATAAAGGGCACACGCCCCTCCAATTTACTTTTGTTCTTAAATGGTAATACTATAAAAGCGGACCTCTATTCATATCGTGTATTATAACATGCTTCAGTTTCTGTGTCTGAATGTGAAATGCATTTGAATACTGCTCTTGTACCAAGAGTCGACTCGAGTCATTGTGTTATTAATTAGAAAATTATCTTAATGTATATATATCATCATTCATTATTATTGCAGAAGATTCTCTGTTTCATTTCTATTTCATGTGAGTGTCTGATGGTTTGGGTCAGGCGTTATTTTGTACAGACAATGATTTATTTTATGACACCAAAAGATTCGCTTATATCACTTTTTGTTGGTGTAAGTAAATAAAGTTATCTATTTTGTACCTCAGTCTTTCAGTTTTCCCTTTTAAGCCTATGAAAAGATACAATATATAACTAGCCTTGGAATATACCAATGTTAAAAATAAAGGTAAAAAATATCAAAGAATATGAAATGTATATATGCAAAAAAAATTATTTATCTACACATACACATATATATGTAATTTATATACAAAGCACAATGTTGTAGCTCGACTAAGCACAGATTAGATGGTCGGCCTACTTAAGGCTTAAATGAGGGCGGGTCCCAAATTCCACCAAAGCTTGACACCCTCTGACAGGACACCAGTGCCAGTGCCAAGCGTCACCTCTACTATGAGACCACACCAAGAATAAAAGAGCGTAAGTTGGCCATGTTCATCCCCTGTGCGTGAGGAGGCCACTGAATCAATAATTTATTTAAAGTAGGTCTTCACGCTTCTTTGCCTCCGTTTGCAAGATGGGGTTAACGAACGTATATTCCGTAAAGATGTGAAAAAAACTGTCTCGCCGTTCACAGGAAGAGCTGGGTGCCGTACATAGCGGTGGGTCGAGAGGGGAGCTTTTCCTCTCCACCGTTACCTTATATGGCACCACAGCATACCCACGGATGCCAACTCTTATATGCTAAATCAGATTTTTTCGTGCCCAGTGGGATTCTCTTATCGCTTAGGTGCCTCTGTCCTTACATTTTCGCATCGGGTGGAGGGGTTATTGGTTCTTTTATCAGTGTAGCTACTCTTCTACAGATCGGTAAACAAATTAGAAAAATTCAAGCCTCGGAGGGTTGATAAAGAGCTTTCATTAGGATAAGGTGTGGGCTACAGCGCACAGTTAGTCAGCTCCGAGGGAGTGCCTTTTTATAAATCAGGGTTACATTACTTAGAATTTAGAAGAATCAAGATGATGTTTGCTACTGAAATTACAGTTTTCATTCGTCCCGAGCGTTGTTGAGAAACCGAAATAAGTTAAATTGTGAATAAGCTGTTATCATTTATTTGCGATTGTAACACCGAAGACAGGCTTTGCATACCGAAATGATTTTACATAAACTCCTGGGATATTATAGCAAACACGTTACCTTTAGTTTTGAGACACTGAAATTCTAAATTTACACGTTGACCACATATATCCATTTTCAGTAAATATTCTAAACCCAGTGATTCCCGCCATATAAGATGTGTGACGCTGTAGTAAACGCTTATAAAGTTCCATATATCTACATCCACTTCATGTTCCTCCTCGTCCTCCACCACTAATGACCTTAGCCAGGGTCACGGCAGATGACCTTAAATATAACATTTCCTCCTTCCAATGGCATGTTAATGATAGACCTACCCTTCGTGACAATCCCAAGGTTGATAAGGGTGCGTTTCACCGATCCTTTTATTAGGTTAGGACCAGTATGTAACTAGTTCTTGATTTAAAACATTTATCAGTGTATAATGGTTCTTTTTAGCTCCTGCCATTTACGATTACGTGTTATCATGAATTTTCGTGTTATCGTTGAATGATCATAACTTTGTAATCGTTAGTTCTGAATAAATATATAATCAAAACTACTCTTTTCTATTTCTGAATACATGACTCGATAGCTATGGTAATGATGATAAAGAAAATGGTCAAAATATCATTAATGATAATAGTACGATAAGTGATGGTTGTGATGATTGTTGTGATTGATAGTGACAATGAAATATCAAAATCAGTATTTAGAATCAAGTTGCAATTTCAAAAAATACTGTTAATGATGGTAATGATGTCGATAATGATCATAAAATTGCAAAACTAATGGCGGGAACATTGTCAAACACATGACGAGATTCATGGTCATAATGTTAATGAAGGAGATAGTAATGATATGTATCTTCATTAAATATTAATGCAAATTGCTAAAAAATGCAGATTGCTAAAATAACTAGTAAAATGCACGGGTAACACGATCACTGCTTGTGGTGATGATGATAATAGTAATTATTATTATGATGGCAATGATAATAATATTGATGATAATAGATATGCTAATAATAGTAACAATCATACTAATAGTAATATTGTAATTGTAATTATTCTTATCGATAAAATAATGATAATAAAAATCTTCACCATAATAATCACTATGATAACAATAGTAATGATAATAATAATGATGATGATAACAATAGTGATGATTATGATAATGATAATAATAACAATAATAATGATAACAATAATTACGGTGATTACAATAATGTGATAACGATGATGATAGTCATAGTAACAGCAACAACAACAATAATGATCATGACAAAAAGGATAATTGCACTAACATCAATATTGACATCTTGGCAACAGTAGAAGCACAGGAGTAGTAGTAGTAGTAGTAGTAGTAGTAGCAGAAGCAATATCTAGAAGAATACGAATGGATAAGACAAACAATAATAACAGTGTTAGTAAATAAAGTTTAAATGAATTTTGATACTACTATCAATATTACTGCTGCTAATGATGTAGATGATAAGGAAAATAATGACATCAGTAATAATAATGATGACAATAATTATGATAATGATGATGGTAGTGCTAATAACAACGATAATAATAATGATGATGATAATAAGGATAGTAATAATGATGATAAAAATAATGATAGTAAATATAATAATAACAGCAATAATGATGATAATGACAATAAATGTTGTTAGTGTTATTATAGGAACACTAATAAACTTCATCACTAGCCGATCCTTTATTATCAATAAATGAAATACAAAATAAATCCTCCTGCCTATCTTTCCATTCTCTTCCTTGCTCCTCTGCTTCGCTTTCCCCCTAATTTTCCTTCCTCCTCTATCCCTTCTCCTTTCATCTTACCCACCACCTTTCTTTCTTCCCTACTCCTCTTCCCCTCTCCTTTCCTCTTATCCACCACCTTTCCTTCTTCCCTACTCCTCTTCCCCTCTCCTTTCCTCTTCTCCACCACCTTTCCTTCTTCCCCATTCGCCATCTATTCTTCTTTTCTTTCGTTATTTCGCCCCCTCCCCCCCCCCCCTATCAAGGCCTATTTCTCAGCTGATGTAGAGATGTTGTGCCAAGTGTCTGTTCGACCACTCTTGTTTATCTCGAATTTCGTTGCCAAACCACGTCAGCTGAGAGCCTTCGCGACTCTTCTCGTGGGCGTGTGTGTGGGCGGATCTATGTGTGTGTTTTGCGTGCGTGTTTGCATATACATAGTCAGGAATGCGTACGTACATACAGGCATATATGTATACATATATACACGCACCTACACACACGCACTCGCACTCGCGCGCACACACACACACACACGCATATACACACGCACATACACACACACACACATACACACATCACACATACACACACACACAAACACAACACATACACACCCACATACACTCACACACACAAACAGACAGACACACGCACATACACACACGCAAACAGACACACACACACACACACACACACACACACACACACAACAAACAAACACAAACACAACACCACACACATACACACACACACACACACATACACACACACACACACACACACACACACACACACACACACACACACACACACACACACACACACGCTCATATCTATATCTATATCTATATCTATATATACACACAAAAAAAAACATAAGGGCGCTTTGGCACTGCGAAAACCCTTCTCAATTCCCTGGATCAATAGTAAAACATCGAAACCCCAAAACCTTCCAGGAGCAATCTAGACGACCCATAATTAATTCATTTAATGTCTGATCGACTCTTTGACATTATCTAATGGCAAGAACGTCCAGGTTGAATATGTGCTTATGACCGTGCCTTATGTATGCGTTTGTGCGTTGTGTGGGGGGATAGGGGGTTGTCCGTGTGTGTGTGTGTGTGTGTGTGTTTGTGGGTGTGTGTGTGTGTGTGGTGTGTGTGTGTGTGTGTGTGTGTGTTGTGTGTGTGTGTGTGTGTGTGTGTGTGTTGTTTGTGTGTGTTTGTGTGCGTGTTTGTGGATGATTCGTGTGTTTGTCTGTGTGTTTGGGTTATCAGTTTGAGTGTGTGTACAGTGTTTTCGTTTGTGTGTTGTGTGTGCGTTTGCGTATGTATATAAAACCTATAGTATACGAATGATGACATTTATGATAAAGCATAGAAAACAAGCAATGTAAATTAAAATGACAATGCTCATGATCTGAGCATTAATACTTATGACATTAACAGTAACAAAAATTAACAGAAAATCTAATAATGATAATCTGTTTAAAATGAAAATGACAAAAACCATCAAGGAATTTAAAGTGGAACTATTAATAACAATGAAATAGCATATCAATGAGTCGTAGTATTACGACTTGTGATTATCATTAATAGTAAAGTGTAATAACAGGAACAGCAGTAGAAGTAGTAGTAGAACGAGCAGTAGTATTGGCAACAGTGGTTGTGATCGTCTGAGTCCAGATGGGAAAACTAACCATTTAGCCAAAATATATAAAATCGGACAGACAATCAGAGAGCTACCATAGCAAATAAGTTCTGACATGATCGC